TAGCAGTACAAGCCTTGCATTCTTCTGATAAGGTTAATTTTAACTATGCCACAGGGCCTTACTACTTCAAGGCTTTGCTAAGTTTACTAGGCCTTATACTACATACAAGGCCTCACTACATCTTAGACTTTAATTAGGCTCTTAACAACAACATATAGTTTAATATCTAAACAAGTGACAGAAAAACACTTGGTCTAATCTTCATAGAGCCTTCAGCAAGCACCTTTATTACACAGACATAGTTTTCAGCTGTTATACCTGCCCAGTGCTAAAGCAGGGAAAGTAGTGCCCTCTCCCCCACCTTCTTCCCCCTGCAGCCTTCCTGCTCCCTTTACTGTCAGACCTTGCTCAGGCTCTAGTCTCTCCCCAAGCAGAACATGGAAAGCAGTGAGCTGTACTGATAGTAAAAGGGGGGGAGCGGAGGGAGAGAGGGCAGGGCAGAAGCTCCAGGGGGAGACTGCTGTGGGTCTCATTTTGGCCCTGAACCAGACTCGGGGCCAGAGTCAGAACCACAGCAGTTCCCCAATCTTCCTTCCCCCCCATTGATTTGAAATGAAAGGGATCAAAAACACTGATTTTGCTATAAACATACCCACAAGTAACTTGCATATATGCAAATTACTGAAGGAAAGTTCATTCAGAATTGATGCATTTTAACTTGTTGCAAACTGCTGCAAGTTTTAGTACACATACTCCTGTGGCCGCCCCCCACCCCAGCTTACCTCAGTGCTGCAGCCCTTGTGGCCAGGCTGCGACCACCACAGTTGCTGCTCCACAACCAGAGGGCCAGTCCCCAAATTGAGCGTGGCCCAGTGGCCACGCGCTGAAAAGCAGCCTAGAGACCAGAAACCCAGATGGAAGCGTCTGGGCACCGGAGTTGGAACCAGACATGCTCCCTGCCTCCAGTAGCACTTTCTTGCTGCCTCTGCCAGCTGGTGAGCCAGGTGAAACATCCCAGGCCCACCTGAGCCTAGAGGGGGCTAAACCTGAAGGCATACAGGCCCTAGCCAAAAGACTGCTTGTAGGGAGCTAGGCACAGCTCCAGTAGCCTTTCTAGGATCAGGCCCACTCACTGGGACCGGGCAATCCATACCGAAGCAGCAGAGCCAGCCAGCCCACGCAAGACAGAAGCCTACAATGATAAAGGCTCAATGGGGATGGGAGAGGGTGGGCCCTGAAGGTACCTAACAAGGCATCCTAGAGAAATGGCCTGCAACACCCCTGCTTCCCTGCAGTCCAACCACACACCTGAAGTGTGCTATTGGGGGACAACTACTACATCTGGCCAGAAGTGGGCCCAGAGGAGAACACATGGAGACCTTGGGACACCTGGCCAAGGGGCTGTAAGGAAGAGCCCTTAGGGAAACAGAGCCAAGTAGAAATGAAGGGTTGAGGAAGCAGACCCTTAAGCTGCCTGTGCTCATGAGCTGAGTGCAGGGGCAACAGTGCCCTGCCCAACACTCAGAGCTACACTAGAGTTATATTAATACAAAAAGAAACAATGTTTTTTCCTCAAAGTATGACAGGCCACAGGAAGTTCCCATGACACTGGTGCTTCATCACATCAGCACATCAAGCCGCCTGCAACGACATCAAGGGTGCCTGGGATGTATGACAATACCTGAACGGAAAGGGATAGGGTATAGGGGAGGAGGAGCCCCACAGAACATGCACCATAGTGTTCCTGAGCCAGTAAGAGCCACTAAGCAAGATCAGAGGTACGGATAACACCCAAAGTTGTGGTGGGCGAGTAGGCTCAGGGGCTTTCCCCCAACTAGGCACCAGGATGAGGGCCTATCAGTCCACAAACATACGTTTGAGCAACACCACTTGTATACCTACTTGTACATAGTACCAACTATGCATCATGATATTAGTGCAGAGCAAAAAGGCTCATGATTTATGTAGTTCAGTGGCCTGGGCCCCAGCAAAGTGAACAGTATTTCAAGTCGTAGTGACCACACAGCCCACTGCTGCTCAGTATGCTCCAAATATACCACCCCCCAAAGGATCCATGTGCTAAGTCAGTAAAACTACTGGAATCAGGTATTCGTCACAAAAATATATATGCACAGGGCAGCCTGGTCTGTCTCTATCCCACAGAGGGCAGAGCCACACTAATAACATACGACAGGCTGAGAAGCAAGCAACAGAATCTCTCAGCTACATAGTTTGGTGATGTTTGCCAGACCTTTAAGGCTCGTGAAGAAACAGGAATCGTTGGAAACAGCAAAGAAAGGCACTGCTCAGCTGTGATTGCAAAGAGGAAGTCGAAATGTACTCAGTGTGGTGGCTTATCACAAACTTGACAGAGTTGGTGCTGAGGGGGAGTGAGGACAATAGGCACTATTATTTTATTCAGATGGGCTACTAGGGGGAGGGCAGAAACACCCAATGTGTTGGGGCGGGTTTTTTGGTTTTTTTTTTTGGTTTTTTTTTTAAAAAGGGCCACATAAAAAAAAGGGGGGTCCCCATCAGATTCTCAGCCTTTTGGCTAAGATCAAATATAGGATTTTTGATGTCAAGGGAAGGGTGTCAGGGTACCATTGCTGACCTGATATTACAGTAGCTCCAGGCCCAGTGCCAGTTTCTGTGAAGGGAAAATGCACCTGAGGTTTTTTTTTGTTTTGTTTTGTTTTTTGTTTTGTTTTTTTTTTTAAAGAGCCACACAAGAGAAAGGGATTCCATTGGCAGTAAAAGCCTGATCAATGCCCTAAAGGCAGAGAAAGGGATTGACAGGGCATCAGGGTATAAGGACAGCAGAAGAGAGACCCAAAGCTCAAAACAATGGGAGTGGTGGCAAGTAAGCAGGAGGTAGGGGGGGGGAAAAAAAAAAAAGAGTTGTAGAGTAGAAAGGAAAAACTGGAGACAAATGGAGAATGGACACATATGGAGAGAAGGAAGATAACATCAGGAGCAATGGCAGAGGGAGCAATGCAAAAGTGACAAATGCCAGACAGAAGACAAGAGCAGAGGAGATCAGGAGACTGAGCAGGAGCAGCAACATAAGGTACAACTGGGGAAGAAGCAGAGGACAGTGGGAGCATGACAGCAGGCCAGCCTACCAGGAATGGCATGATAAAGAACACAGAAGAGGCACCAAGAAAAGCTAGAGTAGAGGATAAAGGCAATTAACTGGTAACAGAAGACAGATGGGATTGGTGGTGAATAGATATAAGTTTTGCTGGAAAAGGTACTGTTTTGAGATTTTGGATGTGTAGGCAAAGCGTCTCACCAGCCTGATTGCTTTCTCGAACCAAAAGGACTTGGGAATCAACTTACTAGGGTAAAGAATCCAGTGATTTGGATTGGGGCACACCAGGGTTTTATAATGCACCATGGGCAACCAAAATGGTGCAGCAAATGCAGAAAGGTGGGGTACTTGTCTGCACACTGTCCCCTCATGGCATGCTACAGATATGAAGAGATGCGAGACAGCTGCAGAATGCCAGGAGTCCCCAAAATGCATTATTTGTAGGCTGGAGGGACACTTGTATCATATATATTAGTGCCCAGTATTGCCCAATGTGGGCCAGGTATTTGAATGCTGCCCGTGCTGAGCATTGCTACAAATCAGATGTGTGATATGACTCACTTGTAGCCATGATATACCTCTCCATCAGTCTATATAGATCTCATATGTATATCATGGCCACAAGTCAGCTTCACAGGTGGTTTCCATGACTGAGCACATGCTGTTTCAACCAGCAGTTCAAGGATAGGCAATACATTTAATGGGGGAGAAGGGCTGCCAGTATGCAAATATAAGATAAGGGGTTCTTCCTCCCCCATACTGACTTCAGGGAGGGGGAAGGGACTCATTTTATGGTTTGATGAAATATAGTAGTTGAATAGTTCCTTCTGCAGATGATTTTATCTAGGAGTGAATGACGCTTCACAGTAATAATAGAGAAGTTAAAAAAAAAAAAGTCAGCAGCAAGTTTTGAGGAAGACAAATGCCCTTTCAAGTAATCCATGTAGAGTTCACTATGGGGTTGTAGCAGCAGAACATCAATAAACTCTCTGCAGTGAGAGCAAATATGGTACCATTATCTTCTGGAATCTCACCCTCTCCAACTACTACTATTCAGGATCAAACAAATCTGGGGGCAAAAAAAGAATTTTGGAGACTATTGTATTGTATCAGCAAAAACATTTAACTATGTTGTAGCAGAGTTTTTAGAGGAACAGGAAGTTATGGCTGGTTTTGTGCAGATAAGGTTCCCAAAGTATTCACACACACCCCACCCCCCTGAAGACTATCAACATGAAGTATGTAACAAGGTTTAACTGAAACTCACTGACCACCCCCCACCCCCAACGAGAACAAGCAACGAGTGTTTTAGAAAAAGGGGCAACTTATGGCCCCACAGCCAAGTCTGGCCTACCATTTGATTTTATCCAGGCCCTGAAGGTGGGATACCAGTAACATTTTGGAAGCAGCAGCTGCGTCATAAGTGCATTAAAATCAGCAGTCGTTCAGAAATACAGGTTGCAGTCATATTGGTCTACAGGCAAAAGGAATCAGAAGTTGTGGCAGAGGCAATTATCTTTTTATTAGACCTACTAAATGAATTCATTTCCACCTAGAAGAAATTTTACTATCTTCGCATTCTCCTATGCCTGAAGAAGAGTGAGTGTGCACCCAAAAGCTTGCAAATAAATACTTATTTGCAAGTATCTAGTAGGTCTAATTAAAAAAAGAAAACAAACAAAGCCACCACCCGTCTCTACCACAAGTGCTGATTCCTTTTATCAGCAGTGTCAGCACTAAGTGGAAGGGAAGCAATGGCAGCCTGCCTTCAGACTGAGCTGTATTAATTCAGTCTGTAATTCCTAACAGGCTGCCAACCGCGGTTCTACTAAGGTTCAGGACTTTAGACTCAATGCCTCCCCTGAACAGAAACACCAGAGGCGTGACTGTCCGAATAAGCAGAAGAATCTTTACTCCTTGGACACCTATGGACATTAATAGATTAGAAAACCATCCTGGAAGACTCAGCTTGCCTTCTGCATCCTTGCATTTGGAGACGTTTTATAGGCTGCTTGGAAAGGTTCTTTTTATACCAAGAACCTCTAGAGGAGTGGAACATGCCTCTGGAAACAGACTAAAGGGTAGTAGATGACAGTATTTTATGAAGTGACAGGTCTCATTGAGTATATAAAAAGAGAAACACTGAAATGCCCACCACATTTTGAAAGTGAGGATTTTTAGGCAATTCCTTGTACCAGTTGTATAGTTGGGAGAAGTGTACCCAAAAGCTTGGTCTAACAAAAGTGCCTCTCCTAGAGTTAAGGAGGAGTTCTTTGTGCCCCAAAGCTTACCTAACAGTGTTTCTCAACCTTTTTTAGACTTGAGGCACCCCTGGAAATAAAAGTTTCAGCCCTCCCTCAGTTCTCACTCTTTTCTATACGCAAAAAAAGAGCAGAGCAATTCTTCTGCTGCAAACAGCTTGGACCACAGCAGGGCAGAATGTTTTTAACACTAGATTCCCATTTGAAATTTCTGCCATGGCAGCCTGACTGAGAATTGCTGGTCCAACATCCATCCCAAGCATGCAGGGGAAGAAAGCGGGCCCTTGCCTGCCCCATGGCCAGAGCCCCGCTCGCAGCCTGCCTGGGGCTGTCTGGAGCAGGCCCAGGCAGCCCCAGGCGGGCTGTGAGTGGCTGCAGCATGGGGGGAGGCACAGCAGCTGACACCAGACACAGCCCCAACAGGCAAGCCCGGAGCTAGAGCGGGGCCCAGGCTGGCAGCAGAGCCAGGTTACAAGCTGGTGCTGAGTGTGGGAAAGTGTTCCCTCACCCACCCTGTGGCCAGTGTCCTGCGCTGTAGCCACTTGCAGCCCATGTGGGGCTGCATGTGCCTGCTTCAAACAGCCCCACATGGGCTGCAAGCACCTGCAGCAGGGAGT